GCGACTTGTTGAATTTGTGTATGAATTGAAGAGAAACCTATTAAAGAACAGAAGAACAAAGAAAGAGAATAACAAGATTGTTCTCGTTACATTCTTTTTTAAGAGTGTTTTAATTATCTCTAAATATAATTTTACATTTTTTTATTACTTATCCATCAATTCCTATGCTGTGATACAGCACCTATCGGTAGCCTCTGTCTATCATGAGCAGTACCTTATAACACTTTCTAAAGGTTCCTTTAATATTTACGTTATTTATAGCAATGCAATGTTTGGCTAGTGATTAGTTGAGTTTGAGTTAGCTACAATTTTAAACGTTGCCGTTTGTACAACTGAACCAAGATAAATGATTTGAAATTTACAATAATAATGATTGTGCAATATTGAATTTCGTTTATAAAAATGTAAATCGTGACGTTAATGGCTGTTTACAGCGTTTTAATGAGTTTGTCATCTGTTTTTTATACTATATTGGATTAACCGTATTTTTCATTCCCCCCCTCTCCCTATTAACTCAGATAATCGAGTATTTACACAATAGTGTAAAGTATTGTAGCCTATGCTACTTGCTACTTGATTGTATTTTAACGAGCTTTATGTTCAACAAAGCGTTCTGCTGTTCTAAGTCGCGGTGTAGCTGGACGTGTCTGTACCACGCGTTATCTTTTATCTATCACAGCAGTTGAGCCATCCCGTGCGCTCCCTCTCTTAGATCTCACGTCTTGCTAATCTTAAATAATAACTTTCTACACGAATCCTAAACTATCCTAAAATCCTATTTTAACTAATTTAATTCAATAATATAACTATTGTCATTAATTAATTCACTTTCTATCTGGCGATTTCGTTATGTATTTTGGATTGTCGTCACGTTGAACACTGTCGCAATTAACTTTAGCCCCCCCCCCATTTGAATTTTTTGAGCCCCCCCCCCCAAGAATTTCAATGACGCAGTCTGCGTCACGGCCCCCCCTTGTGGGCACCCCTGCGAAATCTATTGTAGGCTAATTTTGTAATTACTGAAAGATGAAAAAATTTTCTATTGTATATTTAAAATATAACCAGATTCCGAAATTGACTATGTTGTATGTGATTATAACCAAACTCGTATTAATTTAAGATCTATTTGAGCTACAAACTTGAAATTTAGCGAGTTTACTAGGTATGCTGAAGATCACGTACTTGCTAATTTGCACGTTTACAGCTTAATGTTTCGTAATAGTCAATTGCGGATCTATGTTGACTAAGCTCACTTTTAAATCAAATCAGATTAAAATGTAGTGTAAATCATATTGTTACTGTGCACATTATGCTATATTACAAATTACAGAAGCCTATATTACAAATTACAGAACCCTACATAAAATGTAATTATTTTAACAGTATAGTGCTCTGTGAAAGTTTCCTTTACAATATTTTGTATTTTAATACTAAAAGTTCCATAGTTGGTCCATATACTTACTATACAGGGTGAGTTTTAATTGTCCCCCCCCCCAACTTTTTTCTACATTTTTTCAAATATCAATCCCAGACCACTTCCAAACATTGTTGGGTAGTAAGTACTTCATTTTGACAAGGTGGTAATTTCCGGCCGCCATCTTGGATCTGCCATATTGGATGCAAAATTTTTTTTTCAAATGTAAAGGTGGGGTTCTGACCCATTATTTCGAACTACATTTTTACCCTGATTACAATGCCGCAAACCGTTTTTAAAAATCTTGATTCATTCTAAAGTTACAAGGGCTTTTTAAAACTTTATTTTTAGCCCATTTTAACATTGTTTATTTACAAACTAAGACCATAATTCCAAAATAGTGCTAGATAATGATAAGTATACACTACCAGTAATTGTCCACGTATTTTCACTTGGTTATGACTGATGTATTTTTTTCGGCCGCCATCTTGGATCCGCCATTTTGAAATGTGATAAATTATTTTAAATATGAAGGTGGTGTTGTGACCCATCATTTTGAACTACTTTTTTAAGCTAAACTCAATGCCGCAATCCATTTTTTGTTATCCAGTTTTATTTATGAAATATTAAAACTTTTTTGTTAAAAATGTCAATATTTCAAAATCAAAAAATGAAAATGAAAAACGGATTATGGAATTAAGTTCAGATTAAAAAAGTAGTTCGAAATGATGGGTCACAACACCACCTTCATATTTAAAATAATTTATCACATTTCAAAATGGCGGATCCAAGATGGCGGCCAAAAAAAATACATCAGTCATAACCAAGTGAAAATAGGTGGACAATTACTGGTAGTGTATACTTATCATTATCTAGCACTATTTTGGGATTATGGTCTTAGTTTGTAAATGCACAATGTTAAAATGGGCTAAAAATAAAGTTTTAAAAAGCCCTCGTAACTTTAGAATGAATCAAGATTTTTAAAAACGGTTTGCGGCATTGTAATCAGGATAAAAATGTAGTTCGAAATAATGGGTCACAACCCCACCTTTACATTTGAAAAAAAAATGTTGCATCCAATATGGCGGATCCAAGATGGCGGCCGGAAATGACCACCTTGTCAAAATGAAGTACTTACTACCCAACAATGTTTGGAAGTGGTCTGGGATTGATATTTGATAAAATGTAGAAACAAGTTGGGGGGGGGGACAATTAAAACTCACCCTGTATAATATAGGCCTATAGCTTATATTGGTAGTTCAATATCCAGATGACATTCGTAAAAGATTGTAATGTGAAATGTAATACCTACACGATGAATTTAACATGCTTAGTGACCATATTACGCGTTTGTAGCTATAAGTAGTGGAGAACTACCGGTTTTACCCCACTTTAGACACGTTTTTCCCATGTTATTCTTATGGGGATTATTTTTGGCCACCAAATCTAAAATCCTGATCTTTGCCTGCAAATCCCTATAAAAATTGTCAAACCTTATTTCTTAGTTATTCCCCATAAATATATTCGATATTAAGCAAAAATAAAAAAAAAACATTTATTGACCCATGTATGTGTATATGTATAGTAGTATAGTTTGTCGGTGCCGTTTTTTGTGGTGCGAGGTTTTTGGGCCAACTCCTCCCCCCCTCACCCCTCACCCCCTCACCACTCCCCTCTGCCCCATGCACAATTGCTAGTACATCTATCATTCCCCTTTCCAGTTGATATATTATATTTCTATTTCAAAATCATGTATGTGCGTGGTTTGCACACGAACTCGGCTCATGGCGTGGGCACGCTCCGGGCTCCTGCTTCTTGCCTCTAGTGGTGACGTGGTGAAAATGTCACTCCCTTGGGCTTGCTCCTTGCTAGTCTTGGATCTGTTGAAGTAATTTTTAATTTCTAGCTGAAAATTTTTAAAATTTCCAAAATTTTGAAATTTTCGAAAAGTCTATAAATAGAAGTGGCACAAATTTTTTTTGTTATATATAAAAATGAGGCTCACCTGTCAACACTGCTCTGTGTCGCTCTCCACCAAAAGTAACCTGATTCGCCACTACAAGGTAATTCATCAAATGAATGTATGTAAAGTTTGTAATTTAATCTGTGATAGTAACATTGCTCTAAAATCACATATATAGGTAGATGTACTAGCAATTGTGCATGGGGCAGAGGGGAGTGGTGAGGGGGGAGGGGGTGGGGGGGGGAGTTGGCACAAAAACCTCGAACCACAAAAAACGGCACCGACAAACTATACTACTATACATATACACATACATGGGTCAATAAATGATTTTTTTTTATTTTTGCTTAGTATCGAATATATTTATGGGGAATAACTAAGAAATAAGGTTTGACAATTTTTATAGGGATTTGCAGGCAAAGATCAGGATTTTAGATTTGGTGGCCAAAAATAATCCCCATAAGAATAACATGGGAAAAACATGTCTAAAGTGGGGTAAAACCGGTAGTTCTCCACTACTGCTATAATAGATCTTATGTTATTATGATTTTTAGTACAAATCACATAAGTTACAGATAATTAAACATATACAGTAATCTCGCGGCTTCAATTATAAAACCTGCTACTAATCTTATATGTCAAAAAACTTATGCAAAACTTATGACATAATACTGGACGGAATTACACTGGGTGTACCAAAAGAAAGGTTATCGGTCCTATATGTGCAGGTTTTATTTGTATTTTCAAAATATTTATGTTAATTGAGTCAAAATGGAAATTTAACTTTTCTTATCTTGATTTAACATGGGGCCAAGCTTACGACAGCCACCCTACCCTGACCATACTACTGGACTAATTTACACGTGGGTTGTACCAAAAGAAAAGTTATTGGTCATATATGTGCTGGTTTTATTTGTATTTTTTAAAATATTTAAGCTATGTTAATTGGATAAAAAATGGAAATTCAACTTTTCTTATGGAGATTTAACATGGGGCTTATCATATAAATCAATACACAAGCATGCTTATTGAAATTGTTTTCTCAGCTCCTGTGCATCGCAGGGGAAATCTACGCATGCTGTTAGAAAGATATTTGCTTGTAGATGTGCATAATCCCTTTATAAATTAAAATAGGCTAAAATTCAACACAAAAAAATGAATTTTTAATTTAAAAAACATTAACATGGGCCTTATGGGTTGCAATTTTGGTGACGAAATAGCAACAAAATATAAACAGAACAACAAAACAAATTAAAGAAATTCTAATCACGTATGTTTGATTTACAACGTAGTCAAAATAGTGAAAATAGGGGGTGAAAATAGTGAAGTTTGCACAATACATACTTTTGGTCGAATTTTCGAATTGAGCTCCAACCTAAAGGTGAGTGAGCGTAGCGAACGAACTTCAACCAGGACGTGATTGAGCCATGCGAACGAAATCATCTTGAAAATTAAGAAGTTAAACGGGGCAAAGCCCGCGGGTTACAGCTAGTTAATTATTATATGTCCTCTTGCGCACGTGCTATATATAGCATATATATATAGCTATATATGACTATATAAATGCTATATATAGCAGTTATATATAGGAACAGCCTTTACAACTGGTATTTTACCTAATAGTCGCTTGATCCGCACTTTCGTTTCTACCAAAGCTTTGTCAGCGAGCGGGTGACACATAGTGGACGTTGTTTGTGAGGTAGGGAAGTGTAGTGTCAACAGACGAGGACAGTCCATGCATCAAGGTGGCTGGGGAGGCGGCCAGTGTTAGTCTGGGGGAGGCCTCGGACGTCGACACCATGCTGTACAACCCTCTACCCTCGTACTACAACAACGATCTCTACGTCCTCTCCTGCTACCAGGTGAGCCACAAACTATCTGCTACTACTGATCCTCTACATACTCTTCTGCTTCTTCATCTCCTCGTGTTCCTCTAGCCTCTCTTTCTGGTGCTTCTTCTTTATTCACTCCTCTTCCTCATTATTGCTCTTCCTATCCATATTCACTTAGTGCTTCTTCTCCTCATCCTACTTCTACGCCTCATTCTAGTGCTTTTCCACACCCTTGCGCTTCTTCTCACTTTCACATCGTCCTTCTTCTTCTTATCGAATTTTTCCCCCTACGTCTCCTTCTCAAGCCTTTTCTCGAACATTCGTTTACTTATTATCTCTCTTCTACTCATTCTTCTCCACTTTCTTACACTTTTTGCAGAGCGTGCTCCTTCTCCTTTTCCACCTTCTTATTCTTCTCCTCGTGTTTCTTCACCTCCTTCATCTCCCCGAGTTCCTTTTTACGCCTGCTGCTTCTTCTTCCTTTTAAATGTTTTCTTCTTCCTCTTCGTCTGGCATCGGAAACCCACTGTGGCTGTTCTAGAGTCTTGACTCAGGTTGGTTTGGTGGAAGTTTTTATTTTTCGCGTCAGAGCAGTTACAATTAGGGCCCTAAAAGGGTAATGGTGTAATTGGTGACATTGATGTCCAAAAATTAATTTATTGTTGAACTTTTTTAATTGATATCAATCCAAATTTGGTTTGGACAACTAAAATGAAGACAACCATATTTATGTTCTTACAGAGTAGCTAAATCTGTGTTGCTATTCAGGAATTTATAGTTACAACAAAGTAAAGTGCCAGAATAATATGTCCACCCTAGAGGCAAAGTGCATGTAATGCATCTCCCTTTATACATGCTTCAAGTCTTACAGTATGTGTACTGTAAAAATTAATACCCCCGCCGCAGCAAACCTGCAGACTAAGCGAATTTCCATTTGCCTGGTTGGATTTACACTAAAATGTCTCCTTAAAAATATCACATTTATTCCCTATTTAAATCAAATCAGTTTAACACATACTTAGGTTTGCTGCAACAGGGAGGGTTAAAGTGTTTTTTTTTATGTAAAATGTTAATAGTTAGTAAGAAATAAAAACATTTTCCAAATTTGGGTAAAATATGTTAATAAATAAGCAAACTACAACAGTTTACTTATCCTCCATAAGAATAACATGGGAATTTTAAATTTACAATTTTTTTTGAATTTTCTCCGCAACCATTAGGCGCATTATAACGCTTCAATATACTAAATTATTTGTTTTTTAAGCTCTACAAAATAGTTTGTAAAGAAATTGCAAAAATTTAAGTTTTTTGGGTCAAAAATGGGAAAACCCCATTTTTACCCCATAAAAGCCCCCATAAACCCCCGTTCCCATGGTCCGATCATGCTGGTTCGCGAACTCGTTCGAATAAACGTAGGTTTACACGTTTGTACCAAATTTCATCAAAATCGGATCATTTTTGCTCGAGTTATCGCGCTAACGGACACATATATATATAAATATATATATATATATATATGAATTTGAACGGATGCTATTTTTGGCCTCTAGGGACCTCAAAACGAAAAAAAAATCGGTCCCGGGTCCAGGTCTTACCATGAGTACTACGGTAATAGCTTATTCCCTATATGGGAAATTCGCTAAAATTAAATTAAATTCTTAATTTGTATATATAAATTAAAATATATATTGAGTTGGAGTTTATCATATCAAATTGTAAATTGATATTAGTGATCTAATTGCGTTATACACAATTCCCAACACACCGCATTGGTTCTTATACCGTGCTTATGAATAAAACCAGAGGTGATATCGACTACAGTATAAAGATAATCGTCCACTACATTATCTATACCATAGCCTCCTCTAGTACAATGGTAAGTTGTTGTATTAGCTTATAGGACGATTTCGGGTGTTACAACATTACGCACCCTCCACCCTGCATTACGATGGCTTCACCAAGTGGTTGTTATTGTGATCCTGTTTATCACTAACTTGTTTCTTTTCATCGGATGTTTTCTTAGAAAACTATCTCGCTTTGTAGGACTGAGCTGTCAAGAGTTCTTTGCATTGTAAATCGAATTTATCTCGTCTCTTTATTTAGGAGAATTTATGGGTTTTCGATTTTTTCACTTTTACTAACCGAATTTTAAAGAAGAGACCTTTAGTTCATGGATGGTATTTACAAAATCTAACATGTGGATAAGTTTACTTTTTGCAAAGTGTAGCTTTAAAACAATGTATCAGTCTTTGGGGACCAGTTGATTGCCTCGAAACATAAAGTTTTAGAAATGTTTAGTATTATTGTTGACAAATTCGACATAGTGAAAATTTGTATTTGTACTATACCAATTTCTTTCTAAGATTAAATTTAGATTTTATAACTCAATGATAAAGATATTAAGCTACATTCTTTAATCTCGAAAACTAAATCTTCTATCAAAATGTCATCACATTAGTGGATTATGTATAACAGAACCGATGAAGGCGATAGAACTTGTTGGACTGGCAAATTCGTTAAATGAAGCTAAGCTTCCGACAAGCCCACACAGGACATGTAAACATGCTATTTTACTTCTCATGATGACAATTAAACTGTATAAGGATTGAAGACGTGCCCTAAGTGTACTTGGTACGTAGATCGTCTCACGAATCGTCGATTTGTCGATTGGATGAAGCTCAATAAAACTGAGGTGGAATGGTCGAGGTGTGAGTCGTGCTGTATCCTACAATCAGATGCGGGTCAACTGCCTACAGTGAGCTGAGCATAGGCTTTCTATTGCTATCAGCACTTCTTGATTCAATTTCAAGTACCTGGGGACCGAGCTTTGCTCGGAGAAAATCATTAGTTCACTCTGAAAGCAGTCTTGTATCGGAGATACATAAATCTGTTCCCAAACTCCACACGGCTCGCCTTTACAACGTCCTACACCATTTCCTACGTCATGGACCTGTTTCCCTCCATTCCCATAGCACTTTAAGATTGTAGATACCTTAATCTAATCGTTATTAACAGTTCCCACACTCCGGACAGCTCGCCTTGACTACTTCCTTCACCACTTCCAACGTAGCGGACCTGTTTTTCTCCCTTCCCATAGCATTTCAGAATTGCAGATACGTTAATCTAATCGTCATAAACAGTTCCCACACTCCATACTAATCGCCTTTACTACTTCCTTCACCACTTCCTACGTCGCAAACATGTTTCCCTCCCTTCCCATTGCATTTAAAGATTGCAGATACATTAATCTAATCGTCATAAACAGTTCCCACACTCCGGACAGCTCGCCTTGACTACTTCCTTCACCACATCCTACGTCGCGGACCTGTTTGCCTCCCTTCCCATTGCATTTAAAGATTGCAGATACCTTAATCTAATCGTCATAAACAGTTCCCACACTCCGGACAACTCGCCTTGACTACTTCCGTCACCACTTCCTACGTCGCGGACCTGTTTCCCTCCCTTCCCATAGCATTTTAGGATAGCCCATACCCTTATCTAATCGTCATAAACAGTTCCCACACTCCGGACAGCTCGCCTTGACTACTTCCTTCACCACTTCCTACGTCACGGACCTGTTTCCCTCCCTTCCCATGGCATTTTAGGATTGCAGATACCCTAATCTTATCGTCATAAACAGTCCCCACACTCCGGACTGCTCGCATTTACTACTTCCTTCATCACTTCCTACGTCACGGACCTGTTTCCCTCCCTAGGCTATTTTAGAATGATTTATCAAGTGGAAATTTTGAAAAATTCTTCGTGAAACACTCTAAAATTGAATCATATTAAGGTATTAGTTACACCACAAAATGTTTAGTGTAACACTGCCTCACTATTTATCCCGTTGTTGCACATAGCAACCAAGGTATTTTGATAATCAAGTAGGCCTATACAGTATACACATTGCACAATCTCCAATGACTATCATGACAGAAGCTGTGGTATCATAATGGAAAATTGTTATCGCTCTAAAGTTCACACGGGGCGAGTTTACAAGCTACACGCCAGCGTGTAAGAAGCCGGTGAGTTGGCGAGTGTGCTTGTATTCGTTCACACGGAGCTTGTCCACTCGCCAACTCGCAGACGTGTAGAAAGACGCCGGCGAGTCGGCGAGTGCGCTTGTAGTCGTTCACACGATGCTTTTTCCACTCGCTCAGTTGCTGGCTTGAACCAAATCCTCCAACATCTTTGAGTAACAAGCGCACAAGCACAAGCAACCGTGTTCACACTGGGCTACTTTACACGCCTACTCGCTCAAAAGCTGGCGAGTTGGCGTGTAAAGTAGCGGCAGCGTCAACTTTTTCCAGAGCTTTTTTACAAGCAGCTTTTGAGCGAGTACGTCGTTAACACTGAGCTATTTTACTAGCTGCGTGTAAAAAAGCGGGCGTGTAGCTTGTAAACTCGCCCCGTGTGAACGGGGCTTCTTGCTATCAGCTGTTTTCTTTTAGCTCTTTGCCGTCCCGATTGAAGATCACCTTTTTTTGGTCGGGTTAATCAGCTGTTAATTTGTGTGGTTTATATTATATGCATGGGTAGCACATTAGGCATAATCAATCGCATAATCAACCACCTAATCAATTCAGTATTTACTCAGTAACTTTTACTACATAAGTAACTTCATAATTTGTATCGTTATCTTTGCTTAGCGAAAATAATAATAAGCTATTTCATTCATTGCATGATTTTATACAATGACTCATTTTGAATGTGTATTATTGCAGTAGGTTTTTTAACGTGTTTATCATCTTTTGTTCATAGGTTCTTGTAGGTTAATATTTTTGTTTAGTGATTGTATGTAGTTTCCTTGGTCGGGGTAAAGATCTGTCACATTCGGCTCCTAATGCAATGTGTGAACTGTACTATTACCCTCATCTCCAGAAGGTCCCACTAATAATATACACTCTCGCCTTCTGGGTATCTGAGTGGTTATAGTCTTCGCTTAACAATCGATCGCCGATTCGACCGTGAGAAAAGTCCTTTTCAATGGTCCGACAGCCAGTTTTCCTTGATCATCGTGTTTTCATAAA